TGACTGACTCAACAACAATCCTTATGGATTAGTACTAGAGAGGAAAGTATTAAATTTTATTAACTTAAAACTATTTTATATTTTAAAGACTTTTTGAAAAACAAATCCACTTCAACACTTACTTCCTGTATCATACTCTGATGTTGCCATTCTCGAATTTCGTTTTGTTTGACGATCTAATGAATTTGATAATGAATGTGTTAGTCGATCGTTATTATTGAATCTATACAATTGAACACAATTAAAATAACATTTTTTTATATTAAATTAATATACTTTTTCAAATTTTGACTTCGTACAAATACACCATGTTGTGGTTTACATTGAAAATAACGTTGTCCATCAACACTTAAAAATCCATCATGTAAACCATCAGGTAAGTCCAATTCAATACCATACCATACTCCTTAAATTATCAAAATCAATCAATATTTATCTATTGCATTCATTATTTTACCAGATCCTAATGATGTTGGTCCAATATATTTTATAGTTCCACATCGATTTTTCGAAAGAAGTACTCGATCATTTACATGATATTGTTCTACTGATCGACTGTCTGCTGAATTATCTCGTTTTAAACCTTTAATACGCATGAATAATAAGATGATAGCAAAAAAGTTTACGAATAAATGTAATTTTTATTCTTTTTCTCTGTGGTGTTAAGCAATTAGCTGAACATCACAGAGAAAAAGAATAGAAAATAAATTGTTGTTAAACTTTTTTATCATTATCTCAGATTTTGATAATGAAATAATTACCAGTATCAACACGACTTGTAATACTACTAGTATTTACTGTAGGGAAATTAATTGGACGAAATCGACGTTCACGTTCAGGTGATTGAGGTACTGGTGTTAGTTTTTGTAAAGATGATGGTTGTACAAAGATACCTAATCAAAACGAGAATTATAAGAAAAATTTATTATTGAATACTTTACCTCTATTTGGTGGACACGTAAAATAACGTATGCCTCCTATGCAGCCATCATGTTTACCAGTTGGTTCATCGAGTTCTATACCATACCAACGATTAACACCAAATGGAACATTACCAAAATATTTTATTGTTCCGGTCTATTTCAATAATCAATTATTAATAAAATAATGACGAAAAAAATTTTTATACTTTATTATTTGCTAGTTGAACTCGTTCATCTATTTGAAACTGTGTCGTAATATGATTGTCCGAATCTAAATAAAATTAAATAATCGAATATATTAACTATTTTTCTTAGGAAGAAGTATACACAATTGTCAGACGCTATTGAAGTTTATATTTTGACTATAGGTAAGCTTCAGGAAGACTAAGAAAACTCTAAAAAGTTTCGGAATCTTAGCGTATGTAGACAGAGATCTAATTACCATATAGGCATAAGAAAATGAGATTTTTGTTTTCGTTTCTTCTCGATTGTTCCAAGAAGTTGAGGTTTGGAATTTTTAACATACAATTTTCAGTTGATACAAGAGGCAGAATCATATTCATTTAAGAAGATGCGATCCATCTAGAGATAAATTCGTTTATGTTTCGTTGTTGTAACGTAATCTCCTCTGGACATCCGAAGTTCTACGAAGACTGGTTTTCGATCTGTTTAACATTCTACACGAACAGAACTTATTGAAAAACTTGACATAAGAATTCAAAATTATATTTCATGTTCATCAAATACAATGAAGATCAATTTTTCATTTGATTATGGACATGTAATCAACAATAAATTGAACAATAATGACATAGACAAAGAAGTCGATCAATTAGTTAATGTTTTTCTTGCTGTCACTTTGTATTAGAGATACTATGATTTTACATGATAGATTTAAATAGATGTTATCTTGAAAATGATCGAGCTTTTGTTGAATGAATATAATTATGCTTCGTGTATCAATTAAAAATTCCATATTAAAAATTGCAGATCTCAACTTCTCAGAATAAAGTAAAAACATTGAGAAGATACTAAAAATTCTTATTTCTTTACACGTATGTGCCAACCAGATCTTTGTATAGATACACAATAGGGTCGAATCATTTCAAAATTTTCCTAGTCTAACGAAGTCCAGTGTACGATTTGGATCATGTTACGAAAAAATTTTGAAATTTGTGGCTAAATCTGTGATTTAAGAATTTTGCTGATTCAAAAGGTATTTTGACTGAGTTTTTTATTTAAAAACTTCTATAGGAAAGTGTGAAAAAGCTTAGTAGAATAAAAAGCTATATTATCGTATAATCTTTTCTTCTACTTCAGCTTGTATATATACGTAAAGAAAGTCAAATAAGGAAATATTCTATCACATAATCATATTGTTTCAATTGCCGAACATCGGCGAAAAGAAGTCAAGAACGTATTCTTTGTTTCCAACTACGAAGTGGAAGGAAGGGAAAAAGAAGATTGACCGATACCAGAATCCGAGTCGAACCCGATTGAGTCACGAAAATTTGACCCAAGTCGTGCACTAAGTTTTACTCATAGTCAAAGTTAAACTCGAATGGCGTTCGACATTTGAATATCTTCCGTTGTTAATTAAATAGATTATTTCTTATTACTTATCATAGAATCGATGAGAAGTGATTGTTGTTGTGTACATGCTTGATCTTGAAGAAGTACTCGTAACGCATCAGCAATCTCTTGTTGTTCTTTCGTATTAGTTTTTGGAATGCAATCTAGTTAAATATAAATTATTATTTTCTCAAATATAAAATACAAAGCTTTAACCAGTAGGAGTTCGTTGTTCATCATCAAGTATTTGTTTGTTAGCTCCAGCTTGTACAAGAACTTGAGCTGTTGACTGAGATAAAGCTGTACATGCTAGATGAAGTGGAGATTCATTTTTAAATGAAGCACATGTTTCATTTAATACTAAAAAAACATACAGAAGATTATTCATACTGAAAATAATAATTAATCATTTTTTACATGATAAAACTTTAGATTGTTTTAAAAGAAGTTCACAAACTGATGGACAATCAAAAAAAGCACAATAATGAAGACAATTCATTTGCACCCACAAACATGGAGCCGAGAGATTAATACCTAAAGATTGAAAATCTTATTTTAAAAACAATAAAACATAATGTTGAACCATAAAATTAAACTTAGCTCACAATTTAACCTTTTGAGAAAATCATTTTTTGAACACATACACATAGCTGGTTAGAACCAGACATAGTTGGTTCGAATAGTACTTCTTTCATTCTTTCTAAATATATGTTCAGAACTATGTTTTTCGAAGAAAAATATAGTGAGCGTAGGTTTTAAGCTGAAATTTTGTAGCTTAACATCTTCACAGCAAAGAGGAGAAAGGCTAACATTTATTAGACACATTTCCATAGCAACCGAAGACAACGTGCATCAGACTCCTTTCCTAATGTTCCTTAGTAACAAGAAAAGGCGCTGAACAGCATTAACAAACAAAATTCAGCCTGTTTCAGAATATTCTAAAGTCTTCTTCTATATCTGAACGGTTGGAATATATTTCGGAATGTTCTTAATCGTGTAGTTTTTGATATTTTTTCAGATAAACTTTCTATTCAATTTGTCTAGAATGATGAGTCCCAATGCATTGCTTTGCCACAGTTGTCATTAGAGTCTTGCAACCTGTGGATCGGATACTCACACAATATTCTAGTTATCATATGATCAACATAAAAAGCATGCATGAATTGATCAAGTAACAACTTTAGGATATAATATTATCAACGTTCCTGTATTTATCAATATACATAAAAGTGCGTTGAGACTTATTTAGGATGTAATGGGTATGTATAAGAAGCTTATGTGCCAGTTAAATTAATGGTTAAAATAATAAATTAAGAAAAACAGAGTATGACAATGAAAAAGAAATGAACGAAAAGCAACAAAACGTAGAGCAATGGTAAAAAACCATTTTGTTCGAAATGAAGATGATAAATTATTCTTAAAGAACAACTATAGTCCGTTAGAGGTTTTTCACTTGACGTACTTTGTATTAGTAAAATCAGACTAAATAACATATGTGAGTTTCACATTTTAGCTCCAAAGAAGCAGCGCTAGTGAGCTTTTCATAAATGATTTTAAAATGTCTAAATTTTTCTTCATATCATCACTCTCTTAATGGGAACATCCGATTACCATTTTATATCGTACAATCTGTTGTTCAACTAATTCATGTGGAAATTTTCAAACACATTTTATTCAATAGAAGTAACTTTCGTTGATATTTATTACATAGCATATCATCAAGCTATATATTTCTCGTATATAAAAATAAAATGAAGTCTCGTTTTTCTAAATAATCCCATAGTTATCTCTTCTGAAAGTCATTTATGTTGATGACAGAACAATAATAGAAAATAATGTTTTGTCGATTGATTGCTTACAAGAATTCTCTAAACACAATGTGTAAGGGGTTTTTTTTTGAATATCACGCGATTTACAATATTTCTAATAATGGTAATTCTATTTGTCAATGCACGGGTAAAAGATTATATACGATTGAGTACCTTTTTCAATAAGTAAATTCATAACTTGTACGGCTTCTTTTTCATGTCCTAATTGTTTTGCTCCAAATTTACATGTAAAATGGAGTAAACTCATTCCTGTTATAATATCATATTCATTAATATTAATTTCATTTTCCAATGTCTAAATAACAAAAGTATTTCTTTTGCTTTGTTTGTTCTATTCGTTGTTTTTTTATTTACATACCAAGAAAACAAGTTTAGTAAAATTTTTATGTACAGTATGATTCCATGTTCTTAGAAGTGCAAACAATTTTGTTAATGTTATTGGATTATCATTTTTCTTGGAAATGAATTCATCCAAATTTATTGAATCATCAAATGATGAATAATCAATAAAATTATTTAATGATAAATGCTGCATTTAAAAGGCATCTAGATTAAAATATTTAAAAAAAAATATATATTTCTTTCTTATAAAATTCTTATAGAAAAATTAATGTTAAAAAAATATAAGAATGGAAGGATTTTTTTTTAATCATAAATGTATGCAAAAACAATAGATTTATGATACATTCGATAATAATGCTTGTTGCCATAATTCACCCATTTTTGAAAGAGCTTTACATCGACCTCGTCGAATTTCACGAGAACATGATAAATCATTAAGTACTCGATCACAAACATCACGTTGAATACATTCAATTTCAAGTTTTGTTGCACGCCAAAGTGCTTCCATTGATTTCGTAGCTGTATCAATTTCAAGTTTATGCTTTTCTTCATCTGTTAATGGTACCATTGATTTTGTTGATGATTTATTTTTTTGCTTATGTTTCACCGGTAACGTTGCATTCGCATTCGAATTTGCTGATGAAGCTGAAACAGTTGATTCCGGTTGAGTAAATCCACTATATTCTAAATGGCCTGAATGATGTTGAAATGGATATTGAGAATCATTGGATTCTTCATCAGTAATATTAGCTAATTTTGACATTGATTGTCCCCATTGAACAGCACATTTAACTGTCTTAACAGTTTCTTTAATAACATGTACACGATCTTTCCATACTGTTTGTACATGTTTGCCATAGCCTACTATACGTTTACCTAAATGACCTTCTTGAGAATCCATTTTACTTAACCAAAAACGTGCTTTTGTTGAATAAACATAACCAATAGAATGTAATAAATGTTCACCATATGGTGCTTGTAATAATACAGGAATATCGGAATGAATATTTTCAATAAATTTATTTAAAGCTTGTGTTGATTGAATATCATTATTATCAGTTAGAAATATATCAGTATAAATAGATAATTTCAAAATTAGATTAGCTGATAATTTTTTAATACGTTCTTCATGAGCTTTTGCCCGTTCTTCAGCATAAGCGAAGCGTCCATTTTGTTCATCATTTGTTTGTTCATTCTCATTTAATAATTCACTAATAGCACGATTAAATGATTTAGCTAATTCAAAATCACCAATGATATCCATAAATTCTTCACCACCAAACATATAACGAAAAAATTCTTCAGCATTAAAATTTTCCAATGATATTCCATCGGAACCTTGTGATACAAGACGTTCATCTTTGCCATATCTAAACACAAGATTAAATTTATTAAATATGATTTTTAAATTTTAAACAATTAATCGCATAAAAGTTGTGAAATTTATTTTCGATCTAAGCGAAATTCATTCATTAACAAAAGAAAAACCAAAAGAAAATATAAGACTTTGAGAAAGGAAGTGATCATAATCACAAAAAGCGTTTTGAACTCCACTGGAAATCGTATTGACTTATTTGTGGGTGTTTTCTACTAAGAAAATCGAAAAGTATTTCAAGAGGAAGGGACCATCTCACCCAGTATTCCTGTGGGTCTAAAGCTAACACTAGGAAGTCTTCAACTAATAAATCACCTTTGAGTCGGAACTAATTTCATTGTGTAGACCTAAATAAGACTTGAATATCCTGAGAAGAGTTCGAACTCTTAGCTTCCTGCGCTGGAGATACCACATTTATGAAATGTATGTCGTAGTACCACCTCAAGAACACGAGGAAAACTGATCTTCGAAATTGGACTTGAAACTTTACATAGAACCAAGCCTTAACATGAGTAGTTTATTGTGAAAGTTTCAAATCTTTCGATTTGCTCCTATTCTGAAATAAGAACATCGAATCTGCTGTGATGCATTAAGTGATTTAAATAATTTGTCTTTTACCATAACTGTATCTTAAAATAGGAATAATAATATGATCTGAAACATTCTCGTTACGGAATCTCTCTGTGCAAAGTTTCAAGTCGAAATTCGAAAATCAGTTCGTCTGTTACTACAGCATTCATTAAAAAGCTATCATAAGAGTGCAATATCTCGACAGCAATAAACTAAAAGCTTGAACTATTTTAGAGGATATTCATAATTCGTATGATTCTATACAATGCAAATAGTCTCGATTCAAAAGTGATTTATGATTGGTAGGAAATTTTCTCGTAAAATACCATGTAAATGCCATAGATATAATTCCTACCTATTATAGAGCGTTCGTTTTTCTGGATCACTGAGAATAGCTAAGAAGAACAAGCATAATCTTGAAAATAATTAATTTTTTATTTTTTCTTTTCTTATTATCTTACAATACGCTTGAGATATATGTTTAAATCGTTCAGCATATTCACGTCTTGTAAAATCATCAAGATTTTGTGTACGATCTGGATGATATTGAAGTGAAAGTGTATAATAAGCTCGTTTAATTTCATTTGCCTGTGCATTTGGTGACACATTAAGAATATTATAATATGTTTTATCTAATGGTGCTTCATCAGTGCCAGTTTTACCAAGAAAACCTGATCGAATATTATTATTAGTTGATTTTGTTTTATCATTATAATCATTGGATGATGCTGAAGCCATTATTTAAAAAATAAATAAATAAAAAATAAATCTAAAAAATAAATCGTGAAACTAAAAAATATGACTAAAAATCGTGCTGTTCACACATAAATAAAAGAAAAATATTCATTATTAAATATTCTCAAATTGTTTCATAATAATATTCAGTGTTGTTTTATCATCATTAGCATTTTCTATTTGTAATTGTTCATCATATAAAGCTAATTGTCGAAGAAAACCATTATTTGGTTGTATTATATGACGACGTGAACGTAATTGTACTAATGCTTGTTCAACACTCATTGAATGATGTTTCATTAGATAAGCACAACATAATGTTGTTGAACGTGATACACCACATATACAATGAACAAGGACACAACCTTTTGATTGGCGTGCTTCTTCAATAAATTCACATGCTTGTTCAAAATATTGTCTCATATTAAATGCAATATTATCATCAGCTTTTAAAAAAAGATGTTTGATATGTGATGGAATGAGATTTTTAGCTGGTGGAATAAAAACAACGGAAAGAATATGAGTTATTTTGAGACGTGCAAGACGAATCTGTTAATAAATAAGAGAAAAAAAAATAACAAACAAAAAAAAAGTTAAAATAAAACTTACTCGATTACCAAGAGATTTAATACCACCTAAATAAAGAAATGAATCAAAAACAAGTGATGGTTCACTTGGTGTTTGTGTTCGTCGTGTTGTAGTATGTAAAAGATGAAGACGAATACTAATTAGACGTTTTTCAATTGGATCAAGATCTCTTCCGGTTTTTGTTTTATTTGTTGTTGATTTTTCTGGTGATGATAAACGTGGAGGATTTAATTGTTTTACTTTAAGTGTTGGTAAAGGACGACGTGTCGTTGTAGCCATGCATACAAATAATAAGTAAGAAAAAAAAATATTTAATCACAAAATACGTTTCGTCTGTTCTGCTGTATGAAACTGATCAATTGTGAAATTGATGACTGAAGGACTCAATTTGATTGAATCACTATCATAAGCAGTTCTCTTCTCAATGGTCTCAATAATGAGTAATAGAAAATGTCAAAGACAGATGTCTATATGAGTCATATACATTATTAAAGAAGACTTTTAAGCGAGAAAAAAACAAATAATTGAGAAAAAACTTTCAATTTTTATTTATTATATATTTAAAATATAAATATTTATTAAAATATAGTAAATGTATATTTTGATATTAGACATCTGCATTGGAACGATTATGAACTGATGTATTTTGAAGACTTGATTCATATCTCTTCAGACTAGAAATGTGCCGAATAAGCTGTTTTTCATATCTTGTAGTGTGTCTAAGAATAATTTGCTTATCGTTACCCTGTTCTACTCTGTAAAGCCTCTACACGTCTTTACCCATGCAATATCTTAACCTGTAGAACAGCTATTGTTACTCTACCCTAACTGGAAGAGTTAAAAATTGATAAATAGCCAAATAGTGACATAGACCTAGAAAAGATACCAATCGAGTTTTTGAAAAAATATTGATATGTACGATGAGTACTGATGAATAAAAACTATAATTCACAAAATAACCTCTTATGTTAAATCTGATGTATTCGTGAGAGATTTAGTTGGCAGAAATACAAGTCTCTATTTGACATTCATGATAGATTTCTAAAGCCTCGGATTTTTAAACATACACGATTGTTTCGTCAGGTTTTATTTCTTAGCCTAGCTTGACTTATTTCCCTCCATATTCGAAATTTTATTAAGAAAAAAAAAAATAAGAATAACGGGTATAAAGCACGGAGAAAAACAACAGAGATCGAACAAATACACACACAAATGCCGTAAAATCAAAACCAAAGTAAGAGGAACGATAATAATAGTGCTGAAGGACAGAATGTTTATTTTCAATTCGTTTTTCATAGAAGGAATACGGATAATGTGTTTTGTAGGACAGTTTTTGCCAATTGTGCAATAATTGAGCGAATTAAATAAGAAAGAAAGAAAGAAATACAAACAAACAGACAAAGTAATATTGATCAAATAAGACTAGATTCTATTTCGCCAGTCGCAGGTTTCTTCTTTAAATTTTCTTTTATATTGCTTATCTATAATCAAGAAAAAGAATTGTAAAAAAAAACACGAATAAAATCAAACTTACAGATTCTTTGTTTTTTTTTTAGTCAAAAGTAGTTGTTGTTTCAACTGGACGATCATGAGAAGAATTAAGATTTGTCGGAGAAGATAAACTTTAATTTGAATATAAAATAATTTCTATGGATTATTTTTCTTTTATTTTGTACTTACGGTGAATCATTATGACCATTAGTAGTATTATTTATTCCTGAATCTTGTTGATCATCATCATCATCATCATCATCATCGTTGTCGTTATCATCAGATAAATCACTTCGAGTAGTTGATTGAACTGTGGTTATTTCTTCATCAATCAGACTTTCATTCATTACTTGTGATGTTGTCATATTCGATTGTATAAGATTATCTGATGATTTTGTATTTCGAGCTTTATTAAGAAGGCTTTGTATTAATGAAGATTTATTTCTAAATTTCAAAATTTTTCTATAAAGATTAAATACAAAATAAGAAACCAAACTTTTACTTTGATGTTTCAGATGTTGTTGAATCATTATTATTAAGAAAATTATCATCTGATACTGAAATTGGAAAACGATTATCAGAAATGGAATGAGTCATTGGTGATTGTGGTTTATCATGTCCGTTTGTTTCATCAATACTTGTTTTACTAATATTATTTTCCGTCTATAATAAAAAAAAAAAGTAAATAAATATTGTATTAAATTTCAATTAATAATAATTTACTTTTAAACTTGGTGAAGTTTGTCTTGTCCGCCTCATAATTAAATCTAAACGTCTTTTTCTTTCATTTCTTTCTTCTTCTTCTTTCTTAGCTCGTTCTTGTCTTTCACGATTGAGACGTTCAGTTTCTTCAGCTTGTTTTCTTTCTAATTCTTCACGTTGTTGTTGTAAACGTTGTTCTTCTTGTCGCTTTAATTCATTTTCACGTTCACATTCTTCAATAGCACGTTGTAAACGTTCTTGTTCAGCAAGACGTTGTTCTTCAGCAAGACGAATTTGTTCTTGTTCACGTTCATATTCTTCTAATTCTAATTGACGTTGTCGTTCTTCTTCACGTTGACGTTCAAGTTCCATACGTTGTTGAGCTTCACGAATTTTTTGATTTAATTTACGTTGATATTCTTGTTCATCAATAATTTGTTGTTCTCGTTTTGAATTAATTATTTCAGTAACTGCATCAATATTAATTGGTTCAATAACAGAAGTTGTTGATTCAATTTCAGTAGAAATTTGTTGTTGTTGTTGTTGTTGCTGTTCTGCTTCTTTTTCTTTTTCTTTTTCTTTTTCTTTTTCTTTTTCTAGAGTATCTTCATTGACTGATAGATTTTCTTCATCAGTATCTTTCGTGAATGTTTCATTATCTTTAGTTAATATTTCACTATCAGATTTTTCGATGGATGAGACTCGTTCTGTTTTAGGTTTCGGTTTTGATGGGGGTACACCACCAATACGACGTATATTTTTTTTATTTGTTGTTGTTGTTGCTGTTGCTGTCGTTGCAGATGAAATTGAAGATGATGAATGTGATGTAGTCATTAGAGAACGTTGCGTAGGTTGTTTTGAACGAGAAGAAGATAAAGATGTAGGAGGTTTTGATGAAGACGGTTGTGGAGGTTTCGATGACGTTGGTTGTGGAGGTTTTGAATGGGTACCAGTACGATGTGATGATTGTCTAATTGATGAAGAAATTTGATGATGATCAGATGCGGGTTCAACAATTGGTGATGCTCGAGAATCGCTATTTAATGAACTGTGAACAGGTGAAGCAGTAGCTGGACGAGAATGAATATGCTAAAAAATATCAATTAATTATTTTATAGATTAAATATTTATTAATTGATAAAATAGAAGGTGACCAAAATGTCACTTTACTAAGAAAAAATCAAATATTGCTGTCATATTTAGATTGAATGAACTAAGCTTTTTCAACATTAATCAAATTGTGTTTACAGTTTATATTCAATGAAAACTTATTTGAAGTGTCTTCGTTGATCTAAATACAAGTTTAGAAGTTCTGAAAAAAACCAATCGATTCCAGTGATCAAATTTAATGACGTAGCAAACTTTTTGAACAGTTTTCCATACCATTATCGTTTGGTCTTATATATATATATATATATATATCAAAGATTCCTATTTTGTTATGCATGAAGCCCTCAAATTTTTAGTCTCAAACGGTGAGAATTTATTGAAAAAAGTTGTGTGTATTCAGTTTATAAATGTGTCAGACCAAATTATTTTAGTTCTGATAAATCTACTGTAGTCCTGGTTCATAATGTAGTCTCAATCTCGTATATCTCTAGTATCGTATACTCTTATATGGCTCAGAGAAGATTTTCTTGTGATAATTATATTACTATCATTTCTGATTTACTTTACATTTGAAAAAGTCAAAGATATCCTTACCTTCAAACTGTCTCAATAACTAATTAAATATCATCCAAGAATTTCAACATAGAAAGACATGATAATGACATCAGTATTATAATAAACTTTGGTTTCAGCTACTCAAGATTACATATGACACATTTTTAGTTTCCTTAACAGATTTCTCGATGTTTATGGGTGAAATTTCAGGACATACTGAGAAACAAAATATGTATCTCTAGTATAAATATCAGATCAAACAGTTAGTGTATGTAATATTTATATTGGCCACAAAGATATATAGTTTTTTTTTCATAGTTAGTGAAAGATAATTGTTTTCTATTGAAATCAACTTTGATACTTCAAAATATTATTATTTTCTATGTTGAAAAAATTACATGATTTAGTCAACATATAATGAAAATATTCTATTTTTTCTTGTTGAAATGATTTTTGAGTCATTGTCTAATTATTTGATATTAAACTTACTCTTCGAGTTTTCGCAGAAACTGATGTTGGAGTTGAATAATTATTTGTAGTTATAGGTGGAGTAGACATACGAAATTGATGATTAGATTGTGATACAGGTATACCATTTGTTGTTGTTGTGGTTGTTGTTGACGATGGTGATGCCGTTGTACCACTATTAATGGAGTGATTTGTTGGAATAGTTTTTGGTTTAGAAAGTCTAAGAATAGTTTCATTTAAACGTTCTCGATTAATACTTTGTACTCGACGTTGCGATTCATTATTCGTTATAGTTGTATTATTCTGGACATCATCTCGAACTAGAAAACAAAAAAAAAACCAACTTTTTTTTTTCTAAGAATAACTTATTCTTCAAACCAAAGCGAAGCAATTAACACACGCACACAAATATTTGAAAGAAGCCCGTGCGCACACAGATGTTATATGTATAAGCTTGAAAACAGAAGAAAATACCTCTACAAGCTCGAGGACATCGTTCAACACTACGACTAAGACGTGATCGACACGTAGCCGCATATGTTGGACGCATAAAACTGGCATTCATAGTATTATTATTGTCACCGGTGTTTAACCAATATGCATATGATGTTGGCATTGGTCGTGTTCGGCTATGTGCTACTGTACGAGGTGTACCTGACAATGAATTATCTTCGTTTGTCATTGTTGCATCATATGAATGACGCGATCGATGCTGATATCGATGTTCATCAATCGGATTAAGTTGATGAGAGCTTGTGACAGCTACAAGTGTAGAGGGAGAAAGAAAAAACAAGAGGTATTCTATATATATATATATATACATATATATGTTCTGATGGATAATACATTCCTTGATGAAAAGTATGAAGAAAAGAAAAAGAATTAGATAAACTTACTAGTTGAATTATCACCATTATCTCGGGATAATGTAGGAATGGGAGAATTGTTTGATCCTCGTCGATTTGTCATATCTAATGAAATTATATTTAATATGATTTTCTAGATTTGTTTTTATTGAAAAATTAAAAAAAATTACCGTGTTGATTTGTACGGGCACGTGGTACTGATATAGCTCGTCGAGTTGAAACTATATCTGTAGACATACTCATAACAGAATCGGGTCTATGTGAAGCATTTTCTCTTAACAAATAATAGCATTTAATATTTATTGTTAAATTACAATCATTTTCTTTTTCTTTTACCTTGGATTGACTTTTATTTGTGAATTACTTCTTTGTTGCCGTTCTTTTTCTCGACGTAATATTTCCTCTATTTTAACCTTGATATAAAAAAATAAATTTTACTGATTAAAAGAAAAAAAGAAAAATACCAAATAGCGTACTTTAGTTTCTTCTTCACGTTTTTTTCGTCTCTCTTCAACTTGTGATCGATGATCAGTATCACGATTACGTAATTGTAACCACTTTTTTACTTTTTCTAAATGCTGCTGTTGCCTACAAATATACAAATAATATCCTTGATAAAAACAAAAAATAATAACAAATAATATTCTGTATTGTGTTCATTAGTAAGCGAGTGCATTTAGATTTTTTTTTTGTTCTTCTGTCATTTGCATATTAACTATATACAATCTTTCTCTGACTCGCGCATTTTTTTTCTATTCAGTCGATGTCGATTGAAAAAAAAAGAATGAGATACTACTATTTTTCTTTTTTTTGCCAGCTGACTCTACCTACCCAAAACAAGAAAAGAAAAGAGTCTATTTCACACATACTATGCATCTATTTGATAATCGTCACTCTCTTTTCTATCATTCTTTTTCTTTCCTCGAACGTCTGGTTGTACATGTTTATGAGATGCAACAGAGTATAGCTTTAGTGTTGTTGTCGGAGTCCAAGAAAAAGAAATGTCAAGCTTGTATTAATAGCCATAATAAGCAACACATATTATCGATGAGTAAGCCCATAGCTACCACAAAACAGATTTGTACACAGAATGAGTCAATTGCAAGATGAGCAAAAATAGGAATGACAGCAATAATATGAAGAAAAAGAACAACTACGTCAAGTGCATATCATTTTATAACCTACGCAAAATAATCTATTGGTAATATTTTTTTCACTCCTGCACTTTCTCTTGTTTTTTTCCTTTTTTTTTCTTTTTCTTTATATTGAGTCATTAAAATAGAATCATTCTATTAACTGACAACTCATCTGTCAGGAGACTATCATAAGTTATTTATTGTTAATAATACTTACCATTTTTGCTCTTTTTTTCTCATCTGTTCTTGAAATCGTTGTAAACGTAATACTTCGGCTTCTTCTTTTTTTTGTTTTACTAATTTAATATGTTCATCAATATTAATAGATCGAGCACCTAAAATCAATTTATTAATCAATAGTTAATTTAATAATTTAATTTATCTATATAACTTGCCAATTGATGATGATTTAAATTTACTATTCATTCTCGAATTAACCATTGTTGTTGAAGAGCTCTGTTGAAGTTTTTCATTATTATCTTCTTCATCATTAATTAATGAATCTTGAGACATACTATCTATCAAAAAGAGGAATAAAATCTATTTATTGTGCCATTTTATTACCAATCATAATAATAATCACGCAATTATATATATATATATAAACATAAAACGAATTCTCAAGACACAATTGACTCATTTGGAATGAAGAAAGAAAGAAAGAAAAAAAAAGTAAGAATGAACAAAGAAACAAAAAAAGGCAACAAAAAACATTTTATATTTTCAACAAGTATCGCCTACACTATGACGATCATATTGAGTTATATAAATCGATCGTTGTGGTTGATTATCATCATCATCGATACTATAAATTGATTTTCCACCACCATCATAATCATAAATACTTTCCGATGTATGAAAATTATTTCCTGTATCATTCATATAATATTCACTTGAATGATCGTCACCACCTTGTAATGATAATGATTGTTGATGACGTGTCATTGTATTTGTTGATGTACTTGATATTGACTTTGTATTGTTTGATGATGAAAATAACAATTTACTGGCTTCACAACAAAATAATAATGCAATATTGATATTTACTTTTAAACGTCGAATAAAACCCGATTGTTTTAATTTGAAACAATAAAGTAAAAGAATAAAAATTACAGTAGAAATTATAAGAAGACACATAATAAGAAATTTATTTTTTGATATTTTATATCCAGGCTTTTCTTCATTAGAAAAAATTGACGCTTGAACTGAATTTATGAATGGTTCATTATTAAAAGAAAGAAATTGTTCTGATGATGATGATGATGATAAAGAATTAACACCAGCCATTGACATTATACGTGACCATTCATCATCATCATCATTATTATTATTAGATATTGCATGTGTATCTATTGTTGTAGATTCAATTACGATTGATGTAGATGTTTTAATTTTTTTAATTTTTGATTTCAATGATTGTATTATACTATTTGTTGTTAAGTGTTTTTCTTCATCTTCTTCAACTTCATTTTCACCATTCATTATTGTAGTGTCTGTTTCATCGTTATTATTAATCAATGAAACATCGATATCATCATCTATTTCATGATTATTTAGTTCATTTTCTGGTATTGATGGATGTCGAATAAGATCAAGACGACTTAATTTTAGTCCATATGACATATTAATTGTAGTTATTTTACGTTTACGTGTTGTCATTGGTAATGTTGTACGTATTGTTGTTGTACGTCTAGCCCAATTACAAATAATTTGTACATAATGATCGCTTTTTACAGGACTTGCTTTTAATTCCAAATAGAAAAATAATTCAGAAAGTGGATCATTTCGAACGTAATTTAATGTAAAATTATGTGAACCTGAACCGAATAATGCATTACCATTTGATGGTAAATTATCCATACATTTACGTTCAGATCGATCAGTACTAATTTCTAGATAAGTTGTACTTCTACAATCAGTATTTGAATCTTTTGGAGATCTTAAATCTTTTAAACTTGCAAATTGTCGATTTATTTCTCTTGCATGAAGTAAAACTTGTCCATTTGATAATGATGAACGTACTTTACATTGACATTCATTATATTGTTTTCCTTGAGTACGTGTATGACTTAAATGAATAATTGTTCCTTCATCTTTCCAACTATCACAAATATCTTTTGCATCAAGTACACAACCAAAATTAACTTGTACATAATTAAAATCTGAACAAGCCGGTACACCATGTGTAGTTATTGTTGTTGAAAGTATTTCATTTTTCGTTAAATTAATAACACATGTTTGTTTACCATTACATGAAAGAATATTTCGACTTGAACCTTCTTGTATACAATCATATATACTAAATTGACATTGATTTATTGATCGTTGCTTTGAATAACCATATATAACACGAATTATTTCAATATGTTCATACAATGAACAACGAAGACGTAATTGAACTAGATTGGATTCTTTAAGACAAGCACTTTCAAAATGTAAGGTTTCAACAGTAGCATTAATTATATGGAATAAACAAAGACAAACTAACAGATGGAACATATCTACAACTATTGTTGAATAACAGTTGTATCTATGTAAGTTAAGATAGACAATGACAACACAGTTATGTTTGTCATTTGCCGACAGTCGATGACAACGACGAGACAAGATCGGTTTGTTGACAGATAGATGAACATCAGAAGAAGCAGACAACAGTTAGTTAATCGCGAATAAGAATACGATAAAACACTTTAACGTAAGAAAAAAAAGAAGAAGTAAAAACGAAAATCAATCTTTTAACGACGATAGTTATGTAAGAATATATAGAATGAAATAGTATGTAGTTCAGAACAACAAAAAAAAAAAATAAAAGATATTTCACTGAAAAATTTATTTTTTAAACATAATAATTTTATATATACGTTTTACTTACGATTTAATTCACCTTGTTCTTCATCTTGGATAACATTCGTATCGATTAAAGACGTTACATCCGTTGTTGACTCACTATCTGAGATCGGATATGTATCTTTATATAGAATAAAAGAAATTCAGTAGGGATATACAAGGTGAATATAAATTTACCTTCTTGAATGATTGTTGTCGTCAATGGTATTACTTCTTCGTTTTCATCATCTAATAAAAAATGATCAGTAAAATATGAAAAAAAAACAAAAAAAAAAATCAAAATTTCTAAAAATATTTACTTTGGTTGTCATTATTTTTCGAATTATCTGTATAAAAAAACAACAAAAAAACAAGTTATTTCAAATAAAAGCTTTCTTTTTTTTTTGTTTTTTTTTTACCCTGATTATCCATCGTTCCAATCACTAAAGTTTATTTTTATTAGTAAAGCCAAAATAGCATTTCTTTTTCTTATGCTTCACTCGTTCTATTCTTTATCGTCTGTTCAACAGTAAAAGAAAAAGCGTGTCACTTTTTACCTATATATAATCTAGAATCACAAAAAAAAAGCAGAAGAAAGAACGAATAAAAGGGAAACGAACATTGACATCCACAACACGATGTGCCTCTCATTGTCTTTTATGTGCTTTGGCGAGAAAAAAAAAAAGAAAAAAAAAAACGATTCCATCTCAATAGTCTTGATACCATTAATAGCGTGGCACCAGGAGAAAAGAACGAGGTAAAAAAAAAGTAGTCACAACGATCGTAGACACAAATTTTAAGTTGAATGTACATTCAATGTTATATGTTATAAGCGACAGAAAATCAATTAGAATGAACCTTTTTTTCACACGTGTCTCACAATGACCATCGGTTATAATGTCTGGCTTTTGTCTTTAAATATATTGAATAGACGACATCAAGAGAACTTAATGCATATGCATTATGACAAAGATCAAATATACGTAAATTAAAGTGCACTAATGATATTTTTTTCTCAATTGATGATGAAAAAAGAATTCACAATAGACATACAATTTATCCGATTATACTAATCCTTCACTTGATATTTCAATATGTATTCGATAAAATTTGAGAATTTTTTTTTCTATAAAAATATAATCGCTGTTCATTGTATTTATCAATGAAATTTTCGAACAACTGACTATGTAACCATTTATCAATAGACTATTTGTTCATCGAGTAATAAAACACCGATAGGCGATTAGACAAATGTAAAAAAAAAAAGAACAATTTTACGTATTGAATGAAATGAGTATTTGTTTAGCAGGTGCTCCATAGTAAATATGGAGAAGTATTAAAATTGGTGTTTCTCACTATCAAAAAATGTTCATCTTCTGATATTATATAATATCAGAAGATGAAACACCAACTTTAACATCATCATACCAAATAGTAAAACACAGTGAACACCGACTCTATGAGTATTAATAAAAATGTGAAGTTTGTTTTAATCTAAGATTGAATTTTTAAGATTTCAATAATTCATGAAAACTAATATATGGCAAATAATTGTTTCCTTTCAAAAAAATACAATAAAAATTACTTACATGAATGCAAGAATAAAATCGTCATCAACAATTATAATGCATTACAGGTACGATAGTAAAAAAGAAAAAGATTGTCATTCAATACTCTCTATTAATGTGAAGTAGAAATAATATATTTTTTTGTTTTTCACAAGAGAAGAGTAAAAAATCTTAATTTAAATCAAATATTTTTCTTCATCTATTCTAACAAAAATAAAACCGTACAAAGTTTATTTTCATTAACTTGATTTAAGACTTGAGTTTGTTATTCTTTCATATAAACAAAAATCTACTACAGATTTATTAACTAAATAAGAAAAAAAAAAATCTTGAAAAAAAGTTATTTTGCATCTTCTTATTTCTATTTCAAATAATATATAAGAAGAATTCAAATTCTAAACTCGAATAAAATTATGATCGATTTAATAATTATAACACATTTATTGTTCTATCAATCATAAAGAAAAAAGAAAAACATATTCATATGTAAATGATAAATCGATAATAAATTGATATTGAAATTTTTTCTGTTTAGTAGAATAATAATCTAAATGCAAAACTTAATCGATAATAAAATAGTCAATTTTAATCAATCTTCATTATTTCATCTCAAATTTAAAGATTAAGCTGACAGAAAATATACAATTAAGTGTTAAAAAAGAAAGAATTATATATAATTAATTTTTGAATTTTTCTCAATATATTAAATATCTTTAAAATTATTAATACATACTACAAACTTTCTTCCTACTTATAATGAATACAAATCATTAGCATAAATAAAGGAAAATAAATATCATTCTTATCATAGTTTTCAATTTAATATTCAAATGATATATTATACAATAAATCTAATAAATTTAGATGATGATTAAAAGACATTTAATCTTATTTATGATGCTGCTTCCATCTGAAGAATTATATTTGATTGGTGTAAATTTATTGACTAATAAAAAACAACCAACCTAAGTTTCTTTCTTTCTTACTTAATTTTATAAAATAAGTCGTCGCTATTTCTTTATCCATTTAGTGTATATTTATTATGGCTAATCGAACGGTTAAAGAAGCACCAACAATTAGAGGTACTAATCCACAATATCTTATTGAAAAAATTATTCGATCTCGAATATATGATAGTCGATATTGGAAAGAAGATTGTTTTGCACTTACAGGTAAAAATAAATTTTGTTTTTTGTTTAATTATTTCTTATGAAAAATAAAATTTTATTTTAGCTGAATTAGTTGTTGATAAAGCTGTTGAATTAAAATATATTGGTGGTGTTTGTGGTGGAAATATTCGTCCAACACCATTTTTATGTTTAGTTCTTAAAATGTTACAAATTTGTCCAGAAAAAGATATTATTGTTGAATTTATTAAAAATGAAGAATTTAAGTAAGTACTTACGAATGATATATATTCTATGAAAATTATGTATTCAATAAAACGTTAATTTTTCAAAACATACTAAAACTTAACATATGTCAAATACTGAAGATTTGAAAAATAACTCGCTTAGACATTTCAATTAGTAAAATATTGAGTAATGATCATACAAACAATTTGCATTTTTATTTTGAAATAGTCTAATTATTCGCTCTATTTTGTTGGTCAACGACCGATATCTTTAATGAATAGATGCTCAGACCTAGGTTTGAGCGAATAAAGTTATAGTCTGGTTTTTTTTTTTTGTAAAGAGCAATAACAACAAGTGTTTGATAACATGATATCTAAATTGTAGTTTTTTTTGAATAACAAAAGAATAGAAACATTATTTGTTTTTGTAAACGAAAACCCAAAACTTACAGATGTTTACAAGTCAAAATTATATATTAATATTTAAATTAAAAGATAGTTTTCAGAAAATAGTGCTGATGTAGCAGAAATATTCCTGATTTTACCAACAAACTTATTAAGAGAATAATTTGAGTTATCTTCTTTGAAAACAAGATCACTGATTAAATTTTCTTACTACAAAAAATCATCAATTCCTTTTAAAATCAATATTTTTGTGTCGAGTTATTAGCTTTTAGCTTTTTAAATGTATGATTCAAGTCAACATTAAGCAATTTTTTGGTTTAACGGTAAAACAGATATAGTTCTATAGGAACGGTCTAGGTGCCTTTATCCTTCTTGGATTCTTACTACTTCAGTAGCTTGTACATTATGCACAGACAAACTCTGTGCAAAACAAATAGAAACTTGAATAATTAACAGAATAAAAATGCAATCCATATATATCTATACTAAGACATTGAGATATGATTCAAGTTTGGCATTGAAACATACCTGTGATCATATTTAGCTTATGAATTTTCTAACTAATATTAATATTACTTCAAAGCTTAAATATAAAGTAAAAGAAGGATAATATTTCTTGATGATCTAAAATTTTGAATAGTAATGACTGCAAATACGATAGTATTGTTTCTTATAAAATTCAATAGGATTTAATAATTCATTAAGATTACTCAAAAGATATTAATTTTGAAAAAAAAAAACAGCTGAAAATAATAATCTACAGTATTAATATTTTCTTTTTTTTTTGTACATGGATTATCATACTGAATTTTAATATTTTAAATATGCGAAAATCTATTCTTTCTGTTTAGATATGTTCGTGCACTTGGTGCATTCTATATGCGATTAGTTGGTACATCGGTTGAAATTTACAAATATCTCGAACCACTCTATAATGATTATCGAAAGATGAAATATTTGAATCGAGAAGATAGTAAGAATTTTTCTTTTGTAAAAATGTCTTGTTGATAATATTTTGATTATTTTATAGAATATGAACTTTTACATATGGATGAATTTATTGATTCATTATTACGTGACGAACGTGTATTAGATGTACAATTACCTCGTTTACAAAAACGAAATGTATTAGAAGAAAATAATCAATTAGAACCACGTCAATCTGTACTTGATGAAGATATTGATGATAATGAAACAAGTGAAGAAAGCGATGATGAAAATGAAAAGAAAACAAAAAAGAAAGAAATAATACCAGAAAAATCAAAGAAAAAATGGAAAGATTTAGATAAACCAGAACGATCACCATCACCACGTTATGCTCGATCAGTATCACCACGAGAAAAAAG